TCATGATCTTAAGGAAAGGTAGAAGGGAGACCAGCACAATTGAGGTAATGGATTTCAGGAAGGCAGATTTTGATAAGCTCAGAGAACTTGTAGGTAAGGTCCCATGGGAAGCAAGACTGAAGGGAAAAACAACTGAGGAGAGTTGGAAGTATTTCAAAGGGACGTTGTTAAGGGCCCAAAAGCAAACAATTCCGCTGTGTAGGAAAGATAGAAAATATGGCAAAAGACCAGCTTGGCTTAACAAGGAGATCTTGCACGATCTCAAAATAAAAAAGGAGTCATATAAAAAATGGAAACTAGGACAACTAACAAAGGATGAATATAGGCAAGCAACACGGGAATGCAGGGGCAAGATTAGAAAGGCAAAGGCACAAAATGAGATCAAACTAGCTACAGGCATAAAGGGAAACAAGAAGACCTTTTATAAATACATTAAAAGCAAGAGGAAGACCAAGGACAGGGTAGGCCCACTGCTTAGCGAGGAGGGAGAAGCAGTAACAGGGAACTTGGAAATGGCGGAGATGCTCAATGACTTCTTTGTTTCGGTCTTCACCGAGAAGTCTGGAGGTGTGCCTAACGTAGTGAATACAAGCAGAGAGAGGGTAAGTTTAGAAGATAGGATACACAAAGAACAAGTTAAAAATCACTTAGGAAAGTTAGATGTCAGCAAGTCACCAGGTCCTGATGAAATGCATCCCAGGATACTCAAGGAGCTGATAGAGGAGGTATCTGAGCCTTTAGCTATGATCTTTGAAAAATCATGGCAGACAGGGGAGATTCCAGAAGACTGGAAAAGGGCAAATATTGTGCCCATCTATAAAAAGGGGAATAAGAACAACCCAGGAAACTACAGACCGGTCAGTTTAACGTCTGTCCCAGGGAAGATAATGGAGCAGGTAATTAAGGAAATCATATGCAAACACTTGGAAGGTAATAAAGTGATAGGGAATAGCCAGCATGGGTTTGTGAAGAACAAGTCATGCCAAACTAATCTGATAGCTTTCTTTGATAAGATAACGAGCCTTGTGGATAAGGGAGAAGCGGTGGATGTCATATACCTAGACTTTAGTAAGGCATTTGATACGGTCTCGCATGATATTCTTATTGATAAACTAGGCAAATATAACTTAGATAGGGCCACGATAAGGTGGGTGCATAATTGGCTGGATAACCGTAGTCAGAGAGTTGTTGTTAACGGTTCTAAATCCTGCTGGAAAGGGATAACAAGTGGAGTTCCTCAAGGGTCTGTTTTGGGACCCATACTGTTCAACATCTTCATCAATGATGTAGATATTGGGATAGAGAGTACGCTTATTAAGTTTGCAGATGATACCAAACTGGGTGGGGTTGCAACTTCTTTGGAGGATAGGGACATAATTCAAAATGACCTTAGCAAGTTAGAGAAATGGTCAGAGGTAAACAGGATGAGGTTTAATAAAGAGAAATGCAAAGTGCTCCACTTAGGAAGGAACAATCAGTTCCATACATACAAGATGGGAAGCGACTGTCTAGGAAGGAGCATGGCAGAAAGGGATCTAGGGGTCATAGTGGACCACAAGTTGAATATGAGTCAACAGTGTGATGCTGTTGCAAAAAAAGCAAATATGATTCTAGGTTGTATCAACAGGTGTGTTGTAAGCAAAACTCGTGAAGTCATTCTGCCGCTCTACTCTGCACTAGTTAGGCCTCAGCTGGAGTACTGTGTCCAGTTCTGGGCGCCACATTTCAAGAAAGATGTGGAGAAATTGGAAAGGGTACAGAGAAGAGCAACAAGAATGATTAAAGGTTTAGAGAACATGACCTATGAAGCCAGGCTTCATGAACTGGGCTTGTTTAGTTTGGAAAAAAGAAGATTAAGGGGGGACATGATAGCGGTTTTCAAATATCTAAAAGGGTGTCACAAGGAGGAAGGAGAAAATTTGTTCCTCTTGGTTTCTGAGGACAGGACAAGGAGTAATGGGCTTAAAGTGCAGCAGGGGAGGTTTAGATTGGACATTAGGAAAAAATTCCTAACTGTCAGGGTGGTCAAATATTGGAATAAATTGCCAAGGGAGGTGGTGGAATCTCCCTCTCTGGAGATATTTAAGAACAGGTTAGATAGACATCTGTCAGGGATGGTGTAGGTGGAGCTTGGTCCTGCCTTGAGGGCGGGGGGCTGGACTCGATGACCTCTTGAGGTCCCTTCCAGTCCTATTATTCTATGATTCTATGATTTGCTTGCTGAGAGAGCTTCTTGATGTATACATCTGATTTTGTGAGGATCCTCTGAGGGACAGCAGTCTTACGGTCCCATAATGGTAATACAGCAGCATAATTTAATAGTTTACAAAAATAGTTCAGTATAAATAATCTCAAACAGAAAATAATAGTGAATTGTCAATAATTGCATTTTTTTACTGTGATAAATAGTTTTAAGAGATTAGAGAAAACAGTTTGAGCACGCATTCCCTTTTTCATCCTTTGCTATCCCTTTCCTCTTGAGAACCTCCCCATTCCAATGGGCCCGTGGATATGTTCTGCTCTGCATTTGGAAGTGTGATGGGAGCACAGGCAAATGTACTCAAATTACCTGTAATCTAGCTAATGGGAATATCAATAGTAGTGAAGCTGTGGCAGCACAGGTTAGCCACATGAGTAAATAAACACTCTCTGGGGCAGGCTGGTACAGTCTGCTTTGAAGCAGTTTCATTGCCATTGGTACTTTTACCAGCTATATAAAATATATAGCTTCAGAAGGGTAGCCGAGTTAGTCTGGGTGACAGACCGGGCCAGGTCTGGGCACTACTGAGGGCGTCAACTCAGGGCGAATTGCTCAAAACCAGGGCTACTTACAGCCCTCGACTGGAGACCTTTCCCAAACAGACCACAAGCCAGTCACACAGAGCGCTTCAGATGCTAATCTGGCCAGCAGGAAGCCTCATGAGCAAAACCCCTCAGACATCCCAGCTCTCCCTGTGCCACAATCAGCCCCGGGGCTTACACACAGGTGAGGGGTTATAGAACCCAATCTCACCAATTCCAAACAGATCTTCCCATTCCCAAAGAGCCAGCCACAGTCCCTGGTCAATTTACACTTTGGATTTTACCCAGAAAAGCACGCTGAGCCAATACTTTAGAATATAAAATCTAAAGGTTTATTACTAAAAGAAAGAAAAGATGGAGAGTAAGATTAAGGAGAATACATTACATACATCAATTACCAAGCTCTTGATGCAGGCTTTTAGCAGAGATGTTACAGATTGCTAACTTAAAAGTCTCTGGTGTACATCCTATGTGAGGATGGGTCCACGATCCTTCCCAGCTCTCTGTCGCTAGCAAGGCTGCATCTGGGATCAGTAGCAAGATTGAAGACCAAATGAAGACAGCCTCATGGCACTTTTATATCTCTGGCATCTCCCAAACTGGAGCTGGAGCTCCGTGTCCTGAGCCCATCATACTGTTAACCTCCCTGCCCTGAGCCGCTCACATACCCCAACCCAAACTCCTGCACACTCACATCCAGAAGCCTTTGGCTTGCTCAGTACTCCAAACCTCCACTTGACCCTAACACTCCCCAGCCTCAAGTCTCCTCCCCGAGCCAGCATCCCCTTCTCCACCTCCTCCTGCATCCAGATTCCCTCCCAGAGTTTGCACCTCTCACCCCTTCCCACACCCAAATCCCTCATTCCCACCCCAGAGCCCACACATCCTGTCTTAACCCAGTGAGGGTACGGCTAGACTGCAGGATTTTTTCTGGTATTCCAGAGGTATCCTGGAAAAACTCTTCCGCATCCAAACATGTTCTTTCGGTAACTCCTGTATTACTCATTCCACGAGGAATAAGAGGGCTTCCGAAAGAAGGGGTTTTTCTGACATTTGGCCCAGTCTAGAGAGGAAAAATGTTGGAAAAACCTCTTCCTACAGAAGAATTTAAAAAAAAGCAGCAGTGTACCCTGAGAGTGTATAAGGGCTGGGGATAGCAAGTGATGGAGAGGAGGAGAACAGAGAGGGCGGGGCTTCAATGAAGGGGTAGGATCTTGGGGGAAGGATGAGGCGGTAGATTTTTGATTGTTCTGACATTTAAAAAGTGATCTTGGGTATAAAAAGGTTGGAGACCACTGCAGTAGAGCATACGCTTTCATTCGACACCTCACATGGCCCACGTTATACAGAATTTAGAGCTAACTGATGGGTAGTTAGCTACAACCCCAAATTATCTCTGTGTGGTCGTTTTGTAAGACGCCTTGCTGCCTGCACGCATGCTCAACTCAGCAGGTGAAGTCCCACACCTGGGCAAATATTGTGCTACCTACCAGTATTCAAAGAGTATAAATATGAGTGAGCTAGATGAATTGTTTAGCATGGTCCAACGTTATCCAGCTCAGAGTAGTGAAATAGAGAAATACCACAGTGATGGGTTCTTTATAAATACAAAGGGAAAAAAAGCAAAGGACAAATTAAACTGAATATAAGGGAAACCTCCTCACTATTAGTGTTTGTTTGCATTACTGTAACACCTGAGAGGCCTAATAATGGACCAGGATCCCATTGTGCTGATGTTGTACAAACAGAACAAAAAGGCAAGCCCTTAGCAGTGATATCTATGAGAGATGTCCAGAATATCCCAGGGAATGGTGGAGTATCTTCTCCTGGAGACCTTAAAAATTGAATCAGCTAAATTCTTGGAGATTATGCTCTAAAAAGCAAAATAGTGCCTAGAGGATGGATTATTAGGTGACCTAATGAGTCTTTTGTCTCTCTAATTACTGATATCACATCCTCATGTCTTGAATTTGTTCTCCATCTGGCCTGCTAAATTAGACTATTAAGTATGTTGTTTTTATTTTCACTCCAGATATGTTTTAACATTTGTTTTCCTGCTCTATCAGATGTATACAATCCAGAAAGATAAACTGTATTTTTCTTTTCATGTAAATTGCCACTTGAAACAATTTCTTCAAAACAAGAACTATATTGCTACTTACTGTTTAGAATAATGATGTTTGTTCTTCTTTGTGTAGAATGCCCTTCCTCTGCTTGGATTCCATTTGGCAGTAACTGCTATATTTTTCTTCAAGGCACATTAAAGGAATTGAACGATATTGATGATGCCAGGGATCTCTGTAAAGGCAATGGTACTGTAATCCATCTCTTATTTCTGACACATTCTTAAGAGATATGTACTGTGGCTGCATTTAATGAAGAATTACATTATTTTATGACATTATTGTTTTGAAACAAACTAAAAGGCTACGTCTACACTGGCCCCTTTTCCGGAAGGGGCATGTAAATTTCACGAGTCGTCGTAGGGAAATCCGCGGGGGATTTAAATATCCCCCGCGGCATTTAAATAAAAATGTCCACCGCTTTTTTCCGGCTGCTTTTTTCCGGCTTGTAAAAAAGCCGGAAAAGAGCGTCTAGACTGGCCCCGATCCTCCGGAAAAAGTGCCCTTTTCCAGAGGCTCTTATTCTTACTTCAAGAAGAGCCGGAAAAAAGCGGTGGACATTTTTATTTAAATGCCGCGGGGGATATTTAAATCCCCCGCGGATTTCCCTACGACGACTCGTGAAATTTACATGCCCCTTCCGGAAAAGGGGCCAGTGTAGACGTAGCCAAATAGTAAAGATAATTAAACATCATTTTGGATAACACAAATGGATCAGAAAAGAAATGTCCCTCTCATATGGCAGAGCATTGCACATTCGGCTAAATGCATTTTTTACCTTTCTTTGAAACACCTTCTGGTTTAGTCTGATCAAGTATATGCAATTTTGTGTTTCTGGTGAATAATTCTATCATAGGGATGGATAGCTGCAGAGCCTTATATTTTAAGCTGATTTCAGCAGGTTTTTTACTGTCCCCAAAGACTTTGTCAGTATTCACAGTATGGTAGTAAACTGGGTTTTTTAATACTTCTCCTCAACTTCCAAATGTTCTTCAGATTGTACTGGTGTTTATCTGAGAACAGGAACTGCAGTGTCAGTCAGGTATTTTGGAAACACTTCCATATTCTTGTTAGAACAAGAGATTGCCACAGTTTTTACTGTGTTAAACATATGTGGTGTCTCACCAGATCACCTTGGACTCTAGTCCTTGCCTCAGTGTTCTCTGTAAAGTCTAGAGGTGACTGTCTTTGTCTCATTTTTCATTGCTGTTTTCCCCCCACAGTAAAATATCATAGATGTAGACTTAAAATGTTGGTCTAGATCCATGGTACCCAACCTGTCGATTGCGAGGGCACGACCAGTCGATAGCGAGGTGTTCCAGCCTCCCACCCATTTTCCCCCCACCCTCAAGAAAGAGCCTGCACTGGCACTACCTCCTGGAAAAATGAAGGTAGTGCCAGCTTCCTGGGGGGGGGGAGGCGGAGTCCCTGGCTGCACGCCAGATCTGGCATCTCAGGAAGTGTGCGCTGCTCTTCCCCTCCCCAAAACAGCCGGTGCGTTTCCTGAGAAGTCAGAGCTGGTGCGCAGCCAGGGACTTCCTTCCCCGTGCTGCCTGCTTTCCTGCACGGGGTTGGGGAGAGGGAGAGAAGTCCTGGACTGCATGCCAGCTCCAACTTCTCAAGAAGTGCACCAGCTGTTTTGGGGAGGGGAGGAGCAGCGCACATGCCACGGGATCCCCAGGTACCAGCCGAGCTGTTCCTGTCCCTGTCCCTGTCCCTGCCCCCTGGCTAGACTCCCCAACAGCACCCTGCCCAGGCCCCCACCAGTAACCTGCCCCTTCCTCCTGACCAGACCCCCACAAATACCCTGCTCCAGTCCCCACCAGTACCTTGCCCCTGCCCACTGACCATACTCCCACTTGCACCCTGCCCTGGCCCCCACCAGCACCCTGGCCAGACCCTCATCCAGCACCCTGCCCCTGCCTCATGGCCAGACCCTCCTCCCCACCACCCTGCTCCTGCCTCCTGGGCAGAACCCATTCAGCACCCTGTCCCTTGGCCAGACACCTACCAGCAACCTGCTCCTGCCCCTTCCCTCCTGGCCAGACACCTACCCCTAGCTTGCTCCTGTACCCTATTTTCCATCCAGATTCTGCACCCCCATCCCTATCCCACTCACTGACAGCCCTGTCCCGCACACTTGATCCCTCATTTTTGACTCCACCTCAGAGTGTAGAGAAGCCCACAAATTGTACTAACCCTGGAACTCCAGAAGAGTTAATCTGGCCTGAGGCCTTGATCCTCAGTCCTACCTGTCCTACCCTACCCTACCCCCATTGGGGCTGGAGTGCCAAGGGAGTGAGGTGTCTCAGTTGGGACCACATCAGTGAGGGTTTGGAGGAGTTGTTTTTTTGCATCTAACTTGTGTGGTTCCTGACTTACTTTTCTGTCGGTCAGTGATCCCTGACTCAAAACAGGTTCCCAGCCCCTCCCATAAATAAAGACAACACTGAAACATTTTGTGTTTGACATAATATTTTACTTAAAAATGAAGCCTGGCCAACAAGCCCCCATCTGGATGCAGCATCATAACACTCTGGCACCTTCCCCCAAACCTGAGCCTATCCTGTACTGGAACCCCCTATCTTGAGCCTCTCACATCCCCAAACTCCTGCATCCCCACATCCCCAGTCTTCTGCCACAACACTCCTGCACCATCCACACGCTGAAAATCTGTGTCCTGAGCCCATCATATTCCCAACCTCCCTGCCCTGAGCTCCTCATACACCCCATCCCAAACTACTGCAGCTTGTTCAGCACCCCTCCACCTGACACCAATCCTCCACCTGACCCCAATACTCTCCAGCCTGGAGCCCCCTCCGTGAGCCAGCATCCCCTTCTCCACCTCCTCCTGCACCCACATTCCCTCCCAGAGTTTGCACCTCTCACCCCTTCCCACACCCAATCCTTCATTCCTGCCCCAGAGCCCTCACCTCCTGTCTCAACCCAGTTAGAGTGAGTAAGGGCTGGGGACAGCAAATGATGGAGAGGAGGGGAAGAGACAGGGAGGGACCTCAAGGAAGGGGTGGGATCTTGGGGAAGGGGTTGGGTAGATCTTGGCTTGCCCTGACATTTAAAAAGTGATATTGGGTGTAAAAAGATTGGAGGCCACTGGTCTAGATTCTTCTTTTAGCCTTGCTGGGAGGCATGGCAGAGGAGGTGCTAGGAATCTTCCATCAAACCATGCCCTACCCCATTCCAGCCACCATGCACAGTTAGGCAAATTCATGGTACTGCTCTTGGGATAGGAAGACCGGCAGTC